CCAGAGTCCCTTAACTTTCAACCTTTGGAAGATAAGCCCCGTGGCAGTATTCGGCTTATATGGCCAGTGTCTGAATCTTAATGTGTTCCGTTGCCTCTGCATCCTGGCTTGGTTCACAGAGGTTCCTCTGTGTGGCCATGTATGGTGGAACACAACGACACGGGGCGCTGAATGTGGATCAGGCTTTACACATGAGGAGCTGGCAGCCATTTTCTACAATCACTGCTACCTTTGTTGCTGTAACCCCAAAGAGTGTGTAAATCCTTGAGGATACCGCCTGGCTCACATTGACATCTCTACATGGTTTTGGGACCATCGTGGAGAGGAACGGAACAGACTCTTGTCTTTTAATTTGCCCTGTGGTTTTTTCATTCACACTGAGTATGTGCGGTTGATTTTTCCGTTGCTTCTTCGGCTTGGCCGCAACAAAGCCCGGGAAGATTTACTACACAGCTACGTGTCTTCAGTGCATTTTATTTTCTTTGGTTAACGGTGCTAACGGCCGACTAGAGGTTGCAGCTTTCATGCCTGTCAGATTATTTGTTGTGCTGATAGATTTACAGAAGTTTAGCGGTGTAGGCTAGGAATTCAAAGAAAAATTAATAGTGGGGAACTGTTGCAAAGGTTGACAAACCTGTACAGTATGTTCAGGTGGCAGGATTTTAAGCTGCTCTTGGAGTTGGGGGCAAACTACACTTTGACATGGTGTTCCACTGAGTTTTTCTGACTGCCCCAAATGGAAAACCGCTTTTTCTCTACTCAAGAATCCCCTTGTTCAAGCTCCAAAGGATCTCTGATTCTCCACACACACCCCATGTTAGGGGTGGTAGTTTTTGAGAGAGAAAGCAGGCCAAGGGTTAAGTATTCACCCTTTCCCCTTCCTTCTCTGTAGACAGCAGTTCAAGGCAGCTTTTCATTTAAAAATGTGCATGGGATTCTGTGTCATGGGGGGACCCAGCAGTGAGGACTTTCCGGTGGCGGAAGGCTTCTTATTGCAGAAGCAGCCTTTTCATTGGGAAAACTGTCTCCTGCCAGGAATCCAAAAAGATGCCTTAAATTACTTAAAAGCACAGTCCGGGCCTAGAGGTTCTCCTGCAGAGAACGCAGCTGTGCAGAAGCATATAGCTTTGTTTTGTAGACTGGACTCCCTGGTGAACGGTGCTCCATCCTGTAATCTTAACTAGACACGTGGAAGCAATGGTGTGTCCGGAACCCACTCCACCTCGATCACTGCTGAACAGTTGTAAGAAAAGTGGCGCAGGTAGGGGGGAGGTGGTGACTTGTAGAGAAGAAGGGGTGGGTGGAGAAGAGGGGTGCTTAACTCTCGACCTGCCACTGGTTTCTGCAAGTGCCTCTTTCAGCCATACATCCACCAACCACAGCTCCTATATATGTGCTTTTTGCAGTGGGGGAGGAAAGTGGGTTGAAGAGGTGATTGTGTGGGGGAGGGAGGAGGGTGAAAATTGTGCCTGTGTTTGGTAGCAAACATTTAGCCAACCGTATATAAATAAATATTTCAGGGGCAGAATTTCTTCTCTTCTGTTTTCTCTCTGCTCCTCTCCCCTTTTAGTTTTAGGTTCAATTGTTCCTTTCTTTTCACACGGTAAGCCCAGTGTAACAAGTATATTCAGGTATCTGAATGCTTCCACTGTTGGTTCCAGGTGGACTGATAATTTTTTTAAAGGTTTTGCTATCTAAAATTCTTTCTCCAGTTTGTAAATTATTTGCTTCCTTATTTTAAATCTTCAGCTGTTGAAAGGATGGCTGGTATTTAGGAATTAAGGGCATGAAGGCTGGAGGCTAATGCTTTGAACTGGCCTTTTTTAACCTCTGAAAATTATGAGTGCAAAAACTTTGATCTAGTGAAAGTTCTAAAAAGTAAAAAAAAATCTACTTTGGAAAATAAAAGTCTGTGCTGTGTTTCTCTGTTTTCTGGTTCTTTACCAACTACAGCCACTGAAATTGCTACAAGAATTGATTAACAGAAACAGTATCTGTCTGGAGAGCCAGTTTGGTGTAGTGGTTAAGTGCAGACCCTAATCTGGGAGAACTGGGTTTGATTCCCCACTCCGCCACTTGCACCTGGCTGGATGACCTTGGGCAAGCCATACTGACAAGAGCTGTCCTTGAAAGGGCAGTTCTTTCAGAGCTCTCTCAGCCCCACCTACCTCACAGGGTTTTTGTGGTGGGGAGGGGAAGGGGAAGGAGTTTGTAAGTCTCTCTGAAACGCCGAGTGAAGGGCAGGGTATAAATCCAGTCTCCTCCTCCTCCTCTTCTTTTTCATCAGACCATCAGTCCATCAAGGTCTACACAGACCAGCAGTGGCTGTCCAGGGTCTCAGGCAGAGGTCTTTTCCATCACCTACTGCCAGGTCCTTTAACTGGAGATGCCGGAGATTCAACCTGGAACCTTCTCTACACCCAAGCCAATGCTCTACAACTGAGCCACAGCCTGTCCCCTAAGCAGGTGACTGTAAATATGGTATGCAGTTTAGGAATGGAAACATGTCAGGATTATCCTCCTTGGGGGTTTTTAAAGCAAGCTTGAAAGAAAGCACAGGTTCAATCTAGTGGGAAGGTTTCCTTCTACAGAGGAGGCTGCAACAACATCTGGGCTTGGACAAATGGCATGTGTGGCCGTCTTCCTTGAAGCAGGCAGGTGCTTCAGGCTATTTTACCCAGGCGCAGAGGGCTCAGAAGGGGCTGCTGTTGAACTCACCCCTAGACCTGCTTGTATATAAATGTAATGATTTCATGTTTTGGTGTGTGTTTCTTTAAATGTTTAGTTTGACTGCAATAATGTAAGGAGAGTGATAGAGGGAGATGAGTGTGATGTGATTGGGTGATAACTGGGAATGTGGGAGAAGGGGTGTCTCTGAGGTGATTCTGTGTTTTTGGAGAGAGGAGTGTGGAGAATTTTTGTTTTTAGCCTGTATGGCAGAAAAAGCACTTTGAGTCTATCCTGTATGTCTAAGACAAACTGTTTAGCCTGTGTGGCTAAGAGTGGCAGAGTTTAGCCTGTGTGGCTAAGGTTGTCAGAGTTGAGTTTTGGCGTTTTGAGAGACAGTGTGTGACACCCAGCTTTATCAGTTATATTTATAAGTTTCTTTCTTCAACAAGAGTTCAAAAATACCCAGAAACCTATTTTGTTCTTTTATAAATAAATTATTATTTGTTCAAACGTATCCCAGCAGTCAGAACAGTCCTTCCTCAGGGCCACATAGTCCTCTGAAGTGCCCAAACACAGGGTCATTCTACCATAACAGAGAGATTTGGAATTTTTAATTCCTGGTGGCAGCAGTAATCTACTAAATTTATGTGAACAGAGTGTATTTTAAAGGAAAAACAGTCTTCCCATTAAGGAGGACGTCACAATAAGATTTACAACTTTGAGGTTCATGCACTGCTCTTCTCCTCACAGCAACCCTGTGAGGGAGAATAGGCTGAGGCGGTGTGACCAGCTCAAGGTTTCTGAGTGAGCTTACATACCTGTCCAAATATAATTTTACATTCAACCAGGTAGGAAACATCTGCACTTGCCCCCCTTCTCAGTAGATTTCAGAATTGTTTCTCCCCGGTCTTCTAAATTTAGAAGCCCCTGAGATCCAACAGAACACAGTGCCAGGAACCATAGTTCAAGAAAGGCTCCTAAGCAGCTGCAGGCACGGTGGTGGGTTCTTTATTTCAGTTGTATAGTGTTGTTCTCCATTTCAAAGAGAGTGTATCGGTGTGCAACATCCAAGTGTGTCATTGGAAAGAAGAGCTGTGCATAAACGTGCTAGTTTTGGTCTCTGAAGGCTGACTAAAAGGAAGTTCAGAAATCAAAAGATTATGCATAATTATTTCACAAAGACTTCCCCGTGCTTCTACAGCCAGAACCCTCCAATCAACGTTGAGGCTTGGGGAAAACTGCACCGCAACCCTAAAAGGGATGCTTCCTCAGTTATAATAATATGCATAATTATCTGCAATAGATAGGCTAATTAACTTTCGATCCACCGTGCCTGCAGCTGCTTAGGAGCCTTTCTTGAACTATGGTTCTTGGCACTGCGTTCTGTCGGGTCTCAGGGGCTTCTAAATTTAGAAGACCGGGGAGAAACAATTCTGAAATTATTGAGAGGGGGCAAGTGCAGATGTTTCCTACCTGGATGAATGTAAAATTATATTTGGACAGGTATTCTTTGAAGCAAAGAGGGATGCCCAGGGTCAGTGTGTGTCTGCACAGTGTGTGGTCTTTAGGAAGGGGATGCAGTTAATTTCTCTACATCTGTTTTTTGAGAATCATACATGCCTAGCAAC